CGGTAGGAGGATCCTTTTTAAAATCATTACACACTTTAATCGAAATTCATTGCAGAGATAGTTTAGGAATAACAGACGAGGATATGTATGGCGCAATTAGGAATTGTACGCATTTACTTGTAATAGATATAGAAGGATGTAACAATATAGGCGAACCTACATTACAATGTGCAGTAACCACCGTATGCAATAGTCACCATTTAATACCATTGGCAATGTACGTAAGCGGGAGTGGTATAGTAAGGTCAACGAAATATAAAGCCAATCTCTGCCTTCACGTTCACCATCTCCGTAGATACCAACCATTGTACCTATAGAAATTCAAAATAAGTTATCATAATTAAAGTTTACGTTATTAAAGGTTACGTTACCGCAATTACCATGGTTACCACACATAGATATCGTTGGGGACGACGATGATTCTAAGGAGGGAGGACTGTTACGTTCCGAACAGGAATATTTTTTAAAATTTCCTTTGTAACTTTTCACCGACTGGATGTGTATCGATAATGCATATTGCATTCTGGGAACACCCTGATCGAACGCAGTAACGGTCATTAATGTTATTAGATAGACTATCTTTTGGCGACTAAACTAAGATTGTTAATATCGCACATTCCTTCCTTGACACCAACGTGGTCCCATGGCCACATTCTTAGATCGCTTTACTTCTGCGAACCGCCAAACAAAAATGAAATTCACACTCGTGTGGACCGATAACGCCGAGCGTTCTGGAATGTTCCTCAAGGACCCGCGACGCAATATAGAATTGCGATAGAAATTGTCTTTGTAACATTATAATATTACATAAATTGTGTGACGTGGTATTTTATACCCGTCACAAGGAACGTTCTCGGGGGACCAGACAGTCATTGCATTAGGGGCAAAAGCCGTCTAGAGAGAGAACAAAGCGCATGTAATATACCGTACAATCAGAATCTGTCGCCGCTTTATTTTGTATGTACCATCGGATAACGACGTCATCACTCATCACCAGCGAAGGAACAACGTACGTCGAGGGAACGCCCCGCTACCCTGCCGCTACCCCGCTCGGATCCAGCAATAGACCAAGAGAGGCAGCGGAGTAAGGGGAGGAAGGTCTGCGAGAGTGCGACGTACGCCTAAGGTTCCACTACCCTGCCGCTTCCCTGCTAAGGACCTGCGATAGAGGAAGAGAGCTCGCGTAGCAAGAGGAGGTCCTGCCGAAGATGCCTTCACGAGAAGACGGAAACTTCGGCCTGGGGTGGGGATGATCACGAGGTGTCCGAGTACCGGCATAAGGGCACGCGGGTTTAGCACTCTGTATTCGGCATTTGCCCTGTTTAGTTGTCCTCTTTTTCCATTATAGTCTGAGCTTTCGAATAATATCTACCGCTGCAGCCCAAAGAACAACTGCCGTATCGGACATCTCGGTAAGCCCCTCACCTTATATCGTTGTAAAGAATTCGAAATCGAGAATAACGTACCGTGGGTTGTCGATCACCGGGCGTGCCAATCATCGGCCGGTTCTGCAAAATGTGACCGGAGTGTCGGCATTGAACGTTAGTTAGTAATTACATTAAATTATTGAGGAAAATCCGGAAGTATCGTGAAATAGGAAAATCGCTTCTCGGTCTTCCTATAAGCCACACTCGGCAGGTCACTGAATCGGACCTGGGGGATTGGTACCGCGTAAGCCACAATTTAGTTTCCTAGTCTCGCGAAAGCGTTGCAAATCTTGTGCCACCCACGTCTCGATTTCGAATTCTCATTTACGCGGGAGCAGATCAGAAAGTGCATGTTTTGTCGTATCGGACATTTCGTGGTTTGTCGCGCTAGTTCTCGCCTTCTCTCTCTAGACGGTTAGACGGTCGTCCATACAGAATCGATTCGTGCGTAAGAATAAGTCGCGTCGCGTTTAGTTTAATTGCGTTAGTTTCCGTGCGTTTAGAATATTTGCGTTTCGTCGCGTTATATTGCGTTAGGATAATTGCGCCGCGTTTCGTTAGTTATTAGAGTTGCGTATAGATAATTGCGTCGCGTATCATTCCGGAAATCGACGACTGTATCGCGCTTAGGAACTGGCATTAGTTCCCGTTTACGGGATTAGAATCACGTGATTTTCGGACATCGGTCAGTCGCTAAGCAGTAACGAGCGAACTGGTTGTCGGTACGGGATCATACTGTTCATCACCTAGATTAATTAGATTTAAATAAACAGCGCTGCTTTTAACGAATACTGCTGTGTCGATGTCTCTTACGAATTATCCCGGGATATTTCCCCACATCCGCCTCCGCGTCTAGCCTCCTTACCCTGTAAGAATCACGCCACTCTACCATCGCGTACGGAAACTGAGCTACTGAGCCGTTCCGCCGCCGGTTCGAGTCTCTCGCGTTAAAGTTCCTTATCGCGACGCGGAAACGCGTCTGGCGCCCAATTAATTAATAAATCAAAGCGATATCGAACGGATTCGAATCGGGCGCCGAAGTGCTACTCGTCCGCGAATCCGCGGAGGCGTCGCGACGGTCGTGGTCGCGGGTTAGGTCGGAAGGGCCGTTTCGAGAATTCGCGGGCGAAGCGGGGTCGCGGGCAACCAGCGAGCTAACCGCGAAATACCGCGTAGCATATTAGATTGACTAGGAGACATATTGGTCCATTTCCCCAAGTTAACTGGTGGCCTTGCCTGAACCCCTATTTGTTTTAATATAAATTCCTCCCTCATATTAATAGATTCCAAGTGTCCATAGTACTTCATTATACCGTTATTGTAAGTACTTATACGTCAATCAGGCCTACAATAATTACAGTACCGAGCGCAATTAACTTTAATAATTATAAAGATGAAATAGATAATGTGTGATTCTAAATTTTTATAATATATGCAGATTAACATTTTATACTATACCGGTTATGTACGTAAAAATTATTCAATAGCTAATTAACATTCCATAACTGAAGAGTAAAGGAAAGAATTATATAGAAAGAGAGGGAGATAAGAGCTGGGAAAGGGAGGAACGCACATGCACCCACCACCACCTAATTAACGAATCACGGTCTCTTATGCATTGGCCACGCAGCCTAATTCGTTAGGCGCATTTCAATGCAACATAAACAATATCGGACTAGGCCCACTGTGGTCTTCTCCGATAGGTCCAAGTTGCGACACTCTTCGGTGTGAAATCGCGAGGTGCGTGTCGAGAGTCCATGAGGTGGTTTAGAGACGAGTTTGTTTTTGAATTCGTGAAAGTGCAAAATTCGACCAAATTTTCAATTCAATTAATTATTTTATTTTTCCATTCAATTATATTCACTTTTATTTTTTTTTGATTTTAAAGAATAATTTCACTTTTATAGTTTATTTGAATTTCGCAATAGGGTTGCGAAATTCTCATTGGTTGAATCCTTAAATGTGTGTGTGTTCTTCCCCCAGGAACCAGGCACAGCTGAAATCACATTTTATAAAGGAGTTGTTTAATTCTAAAGTCGTACAAGTACAGACATTTCGGTGAGTTGTTTCCTTTATTCTTCCAGCTATTTTATCAATTTTCCGGCAAGTATATCCAGTAGTTAATTTTTTAACTTTGGGATCTTCTTAACTGGATTATCTTTTTATTTTGTATTGGAGAAATTGCTTGTCCTTCAAACCTTTGAATTGCGCATCTCGGGTATTTACAATATTTCTGTTCTATTCAAAATTTAACCTCTGTAATTCATATTATATTTTACACGTTACCATTTTAATTATTTCATATTTTACAAAATATAATCTTTTGTATATTTTAATTATTTTGAATTACATTTCTTTTGTTGCCTCCGTCATATCCTGTAAACCTTGCGATCTGATAGTAGGTAAACGATAGTACGACTGACGAACGATTGGCGTCGCTGTGAACGGTCACGATAGCGATCTACGTGCGTAATTAGGCAGTCCTCGATGAGCACGCTTTACGAATACATGTATTAACCCTTTGAGTGCTATGGGCGCACATATGCGTCCAGCGAAAACTATCGATATAGACTATGGGCGCAAATACGCGCTCAGTAGATGCTATCAGTATGGACTATGGATGCAAATATGCGCCTGGCAAAAATGATCACTGTGCTATAGTCAAATGTGCATGTTCAGCAATTGTTTCTATTGTCCAACATTCTGTCTCTTTCTGCAAAAACCACATACCTCGTTACTTAGCAACGATGAAAAACAAAATTTTGTTTTAGACGCCACTTCAGTTAGTTTCTGATATCACCTATTACTAGTACAGTTGTAACTGTTGCATTGGCATATTGTCGTAACTTATAGTGTACGTAATTTTCATATTGTTCTTTACCCCTGTTTCATACTTTAAAAATGTGTGCCAGTTTTAAAGAAATTATTACAAGATACGACAGCGATGACGACTTGGGTGAAAGGGCAGATTTAAATGACAATTATGATGACGAAATACAGGTAACACACGAATATGCTCTACTGTCATCAGATTCGGAAGATATAGAAAATAGCGTAAATAATGGGATAGTTAGATGTAGAAGGCAAAATAAACGGCAAAGAATACTTAGCACATGTACCGATGAGGATGATTTAAATTCAAATTCGAATTTAGAAAGTTCCGACTTGAATGAAGTACTTCCAACATTGTCATGGTCGAAAAACGATTTCAAGCCCACACTACATGAATTTAACGATACTAATTCTGGAGTAAAAGGAAATTTAACTCCAGAAGCTACGCCTTTAGATGCTTTTCAACTCTTCTTTTCAGAAGAGTTAGTTTCACATATTACTGAGGAGACGAACAATTATTATAAATTTGTTATTGAAAATACTACATTTAAAACGCATTCTCGTATTAATACTTGGGAAGACACATCAATATCTGAGATGTACGGATTTTTGGCCATCACGATGTTAATGTCGCGGGTGAAGAAATTGACTCTAAAAGAGTATTGGTCGACCGATGACATGTTAAAAACTAATATTTCTCGAAGAACTATGGCGCGAGACAGATACATGATATTATTGTAAATGTTGCATTTTAATAATAATAATGTACAAAGTGATGATCCATTGATAAAAATACGGCCTATAATTGATACTCTGAAGAACTCTTTCTCACAGTCATTTTATCCGTACAAAGATTTGTGTATTGACGAAAGTCTTATGTTATTCAAAGGCTGGTGCTATTTCAAACAATTTATTCCGTCCAAAAGATGTAGATTTGGTATTAAATCATTTATCCTGTGCGACTGCACAACGAACTATGTATTAGACTTTATAGTATATACCGGGAAAAATACAGATATTGTACGTAATTTTACAACCATTGGGCAATCGGCAGATGTTGTTATGACACTTTTACATCCATACCTTGAAAAGGGCCATACATTGATAACAGATAATTGGTACACAAGCCCGCATTTGTATAATGTACTTCATAAACATAAAACTAATGCGTTTGGGACAGTACGAAAAAATAGAAGAGGCATGCCCCATATGGAGGGAAAATTGACAAAAGGGCAATTTGACTACAGATGTACAGATAATTTATTGGCATTAAAGTGGCGATATAGAAAAAACGTATGGATGTTATCAAGTGCTCACGAACCGAAAATGATAGAATCTGGTCAAATAAATTATTTTACAGGATTGCCCAAGTTAAAACCAGAATGCGTTGTAGATTACAACATCAAAATGGGCTCTGCAGACCATGTTGACATGGTTTTAAGTACAATTACTTCATACAGAAAATGTCTAAAGTGGTATAAGAAGTACTTTTTTCATTTAGTAGACGTCTCATTATCAACGTGTGACTGGTAAAAAACTAAAATATAACGATTTTCATCTGTCACTAGTCATACAAATTCTACAAAAATACCCTCAAAATAGAAAACAAGCGGGCGGTGGCAGAAGAAGCGTAGAAAACTTACCATTTCGTTTGACTGAGAGACATTTCCCTTCAAAAACTTTAAATGCAGAGGGCAAATCGACAAGAAGGAAATGTGTTGTTTGTAGAAGATGGGAAAAAAGGAAGGATACACCATATGAATGTAAAAAATGCGACGTCGGATTATGCGTTGATACTTGTTTTGAGGTTTATCATACGCAAATGAATTATTAATTTTCCTCTTGTTTTTTCTTTAAATATCTATGTATTAAATGTTAATTTTTTAAAATATATATATTTGAAGTTTTTCTATGATTATATAATAATTCTTATGATTTGTTTAATTTTCTGATTTTGAATATCCAAATATATTATAATTATCAATTAATTATACGATCTCGTCGACGGCGTCCGTAGGGACTGCATAGGCCAGTAGTATTCAGCACTCAAAGGGTTAATATATGTCGTTATATTTCTCGTCAGCGCCACCCGCGCGCCGTTCGTACAGACTGCATAGGCCAGGAGTATTCAGCACTCAAAGGGTTAATTATTTTCTCTTGTATCAATTATTTTTTCTTAAATAATTAAATTTATTGTGTTACATTTATCACATACTGTGTTTAATATTCCTACACGATCTTATGAAAGGGCCCGTATGGGACTAGCGTGTCTCCGGATCCATAAAACATTAAGTCCCGTTGACAATTAATTTTATTAGGGCATACAACCTTCGCGGCTTTATACGCGTGCTTCCCGCACGTAACAGTAGCAAATTAGAGGCTGTGAAACGGCAACAGAGGTATAGTTAATATTACAATCTATATATGCCTCGAAAGGGCCAGCGAGAAAAGCTATCTTTCGGAAGCAGTTAACACTGCATCGTATGAAGGAAGGAGAAGATATTAAAGATCATATGTAAAAATTCTTCGATATAGTAGACAAATAGGAAGCGATGAATGTCGGTATAAATCTAGATTTACTTGCCATAATGATGCTGTATAGCTTGCCTACGAGCTTTGAAAATTTCAAATACGTGATAGAATCGAGAGATGAGCTTCTAAGTCCAGAGACTTTCAAGGTCAAAATTATCGAGGAGAGCGATACACGTGCGCAGACGAATAAGTCACATAATCAGGGGGCAATGGTCGCAAATCACGCAAAATGGAAGTCCAACGTGAGAAGACCTGACAAAAATGATATAAGGAAACCAAGAGCAGGTAAATTTTCCTTTAAGTGTAACAGGTGCCATAAAATAGGCCTCAAGGCATCGGACTGCAAGATCAGATTAGACAAAAATCAAGATTAAACGAACAAAACAGACGAGACCTCGATTGGATTTTATGCTGAAGAAATAATGTCAGTAGCTCGGAAAACTGAAATTAAGAGTGGTAATATCGTTCGAGCATGGATATTGAACAGTGGTTGTATTTCCCATTTCTGTGGAGATATAAAACAGTTTAGCCATGTGGAGATGTCTGAGAACGGAAAGATTAATGTGGCAAACTCTGCATCTACTGCGATAGAAGGGAGAGGACTTATAAGAATTGCAACGCAGAACAAAGATATAGTCAGGTCGGTAGAATTTAATGATACATTACATGTCTCGGATTTAAGAGTAAATCTAATCTCAATATCAAAAATCATTGAAAACTGTCATAAAGTAACTTTGAACACTATTCCTACCGCGACCGGTCAAATGACTGTTTTCAAAATTTCGATTAGAATTTCCTGTATAGAGCGCAATTGAAACGCCTTCAAACTTCATGATTTTTTCTGAAACATGCATATAATACTTTTTTCAATATTCACTTCTTTTTTTATTGTTTATTTTCTGAGAAAAATTAGTAGTTTGTCTTACATACCACGACCGGTCATTTGACCGGTAAAACGATTTTAACCGAAGGGGACGCCCAAATGTTTTCTGATGAATTGAAATTAGTAAACTCTTGCGACCCGAACATACAACATCAGTACGTCAAAGTTACAAAAAGTATATTCAGTAGTTTTTTTATTATTTTGTATTTCTATTTTATTATTATTCTACCTGTATTTTATGTTGTTGTGGCGCTCTTAGCACCACATACGCCATTGCCTTTTCTATTTTCTAAAATTCTTTTTCCTGTTTTCAGTCAGTGTCAACGCTTAGGCCCTTGCGAACCTCTTCACTTTCTATTTTATGATTCTCTTTCGCTGTGCCTCTCCTTTTCCGAACTTCTCAACCGTTTTTCTGGATTTTCCCACTTTCTATATTTTCTCTCTTTCAAACTGTTTCTTTTTTTTATTAATCAGTTTTCGAGGAGGAGGTTTTGACCAGCGACGTGATCAGTCACTCAGAGTCGTTTGAATAGCTAACATCATTTTTCGTATCCGTACACATATAATAAATTTGTGTAGAACGCAACTTAGACTTTTTTATTGTGATGAAAATCTAGATAATATTTAGATGTTATCTAAATAGATTTAGGTAAGAATCGAAATCTCCATCCAATTCCCACATTGTTATAAGTGTTGTTTTGTGTGTTATAAGTGTCATTTCCACAAAACTAGACAAAATTATTAGTACATCGCCGTAAGTTTCATATTTGATCTTTTATTCATTTTTCCATGTATTTTGATTTATATTTATACATTTTAGTTTTTATTTTATCAGTTGAATATTCATCCCCAAAATGTCAAGTTCGAAGAGCGTAAATTCATTATTAGAAAAAATAAATGATATTGATGAAGAGTGTTCCGAAAATGATCAGGAAATTTTTGATATTGAAAATGACAGAACAAAAAATTATGATCTATTTGAGACCGATTCGGACACTGATGAGGACAAAGAGAATATATCGAACGTACCTAGAAGATGAAAGAGAAGATTTTTAGTTAGTTCTGACAGTGAGAATGAGGGAGAGAAAATTGAAACTGCTGTAGTCGGAACTGTTTGGTAAGAAATAAAAGTAAGATGTAATTCTGGAAGAGCATCAATTCATAACATGTTTAGGGAAACGTCAGGTCCGACAGGGTATAGCAAACGCAACATTATGAAAGCTAAACTTAGGACAGCATTTTCTTTGATTATTGACAAGAATATGATGGAACATATAAGAAAGTGCACAAAAGCAGAGGCATTTCGAGTATTGGGATGTAAATGGGATTTATTTAGTGCAAAATTACATGCTTTTTTTGCACTTCTGTATGCACGCGGCGCATACGAAGCTAAGAATATAGATATAGCACTTTTATGGAATAAAAAATGGGGCCCTGCATTTTTCGCAAATACCATGAGCAGGAATAATTTCATAGAAATTATGCGTTTTATACGATTTGACGACAAAAATCAACATAGCCAACGATTGCGAAGTGATCAATTTGAATTGATTTCGGAAGTTTGGAGCAAATTTATTGAAAACAGCCAAAATTGTTACAAACCAAGGCCATATATTACCATAGATGAGCAGTTATTTCGGACCAAAGCAAGATGTAGAGTCACACAGTATATGCCAAATAAACCCGATAAATTCGGTATAAAATTCTAGTTAGCATCTAACGTCAATACGAAATATATAATAAACGGCTTCCCATATTTAGGAAAAGATGAAAGGAGAGATCCTACGAATAAAATACATAGTATATACTTCTAAATAAACAAAATTACATTTTTATGTTATTAAACTGGCTGTTATTTTCATTCTATATTAAAAAATATAAGTTGCGCTAAAGACCGGTCGCGGTAGGAATAGGTATACGCGAAGTGTCGGTAGGAATATTGTTAAGAATGAGTCAGCTGTTATAACAGATCGTAAAGGAAACAACAGTCTAATAACAAACAGAGAAGGTCATCTGTATTACTTTCGAGAGATGGTTGAATGCTCAAAGTTAACCGATACGGAGAAATGCTCTGATGCTTACAAGTGGCATAGGTGATTGGGACATCTGAACGGCCGAGATTTGGCAAAGATAATGGAGAAAACTGGACTAAATACCAATACAATTAAGAAAGCAAAAGGGTTAACCATATATAATGTCTGCATGGAGGGAAAAATGAAGAGTACCCCCTTTCCAACGGGAAATACCCCATGCAACGAAAAATTAAGAATAGTACATTCAGATATGGTCGGTCCGACGAGAACTGTCTCCAATGGAGGTGCTAGATTTTTTGTAACCTTTATCAATGATAGCACGAGATGACGCACAGTCTATTTCTTAGAACGCGAGGGTGATGTATTCGATGCGTACAAGAGTTTTAAGAACCTTCTTTAAAATCATAAAGGAAAAAGCATAAAGTAGACTTGAGACTTTCGCGGCCCGGCATCAGACAGGTATGGCTGTTAAGGCTTTCGGGTGTAAGCCGTGTCCTAAAGGAAGCGAATTCAGCAGGGGATACACTGATTAATATCAGTGCTCAATATCAATGGTGAGAGGCTCTATAGCTCTGAACATCGAGCTAAGTATTGGGCCCGACGACTCTATGAGTGTGTTGATCGAAGGGAGTTTCGAGACTGTGACCAATCTACAGTGTCCACTAAGTGGATTGATGCGGATAGCCTGAGTGTTCCTGGTAGGAATTATATCCAGTACTACCATATCCGCATCAACAGTCTTCCGACACGTATGCGCACGTCCAGGGGTGAAAGGCTTATGCACGCCAACATCAAGTGCCGAGAGGGGTGCGATTGCACTGAGACCTCTGCGCACATCGTGGGTGCTTGCTTTCGTAAGATGCTTGTCGATCACCTTCGGTCGCGTGAAATGAGGGTTATAGTAGAGCCTCGCCTTCGAACATCTGAGGGTTTGAGGAAGCCGGACATTTTGGTGGCCCATGAGGGAAAGGGTTACATAGCGGACGCTCAGATCGTCAGTGGTGCTGCGTCGCTCGATGACAGTCATGCGAGAAAGGTGGAGAAATATAACTAATTAACGTTTTCTGGGACAATCCCAAAGAATATGATTTAGATGTTGATCCTCAAATCTACAGCGACAATTCTTAGTTTGAGTTAATCCTATTTTTTCAAGAGATCAAGCCAGATTATAATAATTAGATCTATAGCAGCAAACCCATAAAGCAGGGATGGAAAAAGAACCGTTTCGGAAAAGTCTGTTCGGTTCCGGTACCGAAACCGCTTCTAACTTTGTCATTATCGGTTCTGTATTGGAGAATCGGAATCTCTTAATTTTTGGAAGAACCGGTTCCATCAGGGACGGAAAAAGAACCGTTTCAGAAAAGCCTGTTCGGTTCCGGTACCAAA